ATATATATATATAAAGAAAAAAACTACCCTACCCATTCCTTCTCTTCCTTCCCTTCTCTCTCCTCGGTCTCACCTTCCCCTTCTATCTCTTAACGCTCACCCGCCCAACCCTCCATTCCCCTTCCACTTGTGGGCCAACCCCCCCCCCCCCCCCCCTCCCCTTTCCCCAACTTTCTTTGCACCCCAAATTGGGAATGGGAAAGCAACAACAATAGATTTACGCCATAATTACTCTCCCTTTAACTGTTGCAAATGATCTAGACGAGAGCAGTTGTTTTGGAATTGTCACTTACCTCCCTAAACAGGCACCCTCCATTCCCCCCTCCTTCCAAACACAATGTTGGGATCACAATATGTTATTGGATGAGAGTATTTTTAGTATGAACCCGGATAGAGATATTTCAGTCACTTCGACTGAGCGTCATGGGGTGATGGGATGTGACAAATAAGGGTATCAAGGAGTTCATAGTGTGTAGAGAGAAGAGCATGCATTACAGACTTCGTGTTTTTTTTTCCTATCTCTTCGAACTTCAATATAAGTTCCATATCATATTTTCCGATTAACCTCCACAATTCTTGCTTCTGTTCAGCTATATAAGCATTGAGAATGTGCTTCATTGGTCGTTAGCAGAAGAGCACGAAGGCCCTCTTGCAACTACCAAACCCACTCTGTTTCACACTTCATTCGTTGGTGCTAGTATCGAAGAAATTTCTCCCCCGCATCTTGTTAATTGTCAAGTGAAGTGTGACAGCAAATTTAGTAGCCATGAACTAGGAGAAATTTTTGAACTTAAAAGCTCTGCCATGAAAGCCTATAGCGAATAAAACAATCCCCTTACTTGGGGATGCCTACAATAGAATTCAACATCGAGCTTATATTTATGAAGAAAAAAAAGAGGATATTGGAGGACCAATTTACTCTTGCCAATTACCACAAGTATTTTACTAATTATGATAAAATGACATAACAATCATCAATTAACCTAACTTTTTTTTTGTTTGGTCGGATTGGTTGGATGATAAGTTTGACACTTGTGTTTTAGAAGAAGACACTTGTCTCTCCCCTCTCATATCTGTCATTGTGTACACTTTGTAGAGAGTAATTTTGGTCTCACTATGAATTCTATGCACCCACTGAAACCAGTACTCACAATTAAGAAGAAGAAAATTAATGTTCGCTAGCTTAAGTAATTTTCTCATAGATGAACATAAATGGCTCTTGGTTATGAATAAATTAATTCGGTGAGAATAGATACATGTGTTGCAAGCAAAGTCGCTAAGTTGAACTCGAGCTCTAGTTGCCTCAACCAAATTTCCAACTATACGATCAACCAAATCAATATATCTTCTGAATTTCAAGATCAACATGAGGCTTGATTCTCTTCTCTCCTTTTGGATAGAACTCCTCAACCATTTGTTGGAATGATAGAAAGTAGTAAGCACATAAGCCAACGAATGCAAAGGGACATTCATCTTTCTCCATCTCTCCATGACAAGAGCTTCAATGATATCCTTCAAATCTATATGTCTACCAAAGCAAATTGAATAAAGCTCAACATGTCTTCTATTCTTTGATAAACTTTACTAATAATAACTTTGTCAAATTTACAAAAGAGAATCATTTTCCAAATGGGTCTTGTGAAACTAAGAACAAATTTCAGCTTCTCCCAAAAGTCACCATTTAAAATAGCCTTCTTCACATCTTCATGACTTAAATTTGAAGAGGCAATACCATGCTTCAAATCTTCCCACTCATAATATAATACCATTGAAATCAAGTGATTTTCAACTTGGCTAAATATTCTAACCTAACATAATGATGACTGAATCTTGTCTTCTTAACTTGAATCACCTCTAGAGCTAAAAACTTAAGGATGGATGATTGTCTTCTTATGTACTTCACTATCCCTTTGGCTTAGTGGATGGATGGATGTTCTGTGTGTATGAAAGGACGGATGATTTTTTTTCTTCTATTTTTTGGTTCAACACCACTGTTATCATTTTAGGGTTCCGCACCAATTTCGAAAAGGTTTTTGGAATTCGTTGGATGGATGGTGATAGTTGAATAATCGTTGACTGTCGCGGAGGCAATCTTAGAAATTTGATTAGAGTGTGGGAAGGTTTTCATGAGTGAATTGGGATGGGTGGGGGATATCAGATTCTAGGTGAAATGCAAAAGAAGATAAGACAATGGTCTAATTTTTTGTCTTTTATTTATTTAACTTTTCAAATTTTTTATTTTACAATTTTTTATAATAATTTATGTGGAAGCAATTAAGCAAAGTTGCTACATCTCAACATTATTCCTTTTAATAGTAACAAAATTAGCCAGAAATAAAAAATTTGATCCGCAACTTATAATTAATGTGAATAGTATCAACACATATTGAATTATTTTACTATTACATCATCAATAAAATATAATATCTACCACACTTTTCGATCAACTTTTTCTCGCATTTTTCCCTCTACTTTCCCCCATAAAACAACATTTTTCCTCACAATTTTTCTCACCTCCAAATTTTCCTTCTCCTCCCTCATTTCCTCTCTCTATTCAGAAACAAGGTGTACGGAGAATGATTAATTCATGTCTTCAATTGAATTCTTTCCTACCAAATTTCTTACACCCATCATAGGGTTTCTGATCCTAGCATCAGCCTCGTGCTTCAAGGACGGAAAGGCAAGTCATGCCTCCTGCTCAGGGTAGGGGAGAGCGTTGTATACGGTCTGCACAAAATTGCCGCCATATACTCACTTTATCATCTCAAAAGCCAGCGGGGTAGAAAATGGCAGTCCAGTGGACACAGCTGCACCTTACCCGACTGGCATTTGGCACACCTAGCGTTCCCTACCATCGCCATGTTGTCCCTGGAAAATGAACAAATTAAAGAAATAAGAGGACAATTAGCAAGTAGCCCGAAAGTTAATTATAGGAGAGGCAGTTATTACAAAAGTGATCGTAGAAGAACGAAACATATATACCTGATATATCAATGCAACCAAAGAAATTAAGAGGTAGCAGACCAGCAGACTGTTCGAGCAACAAGATACGTACTGAAGTAGTTGCTTGATGAAGTTTTACTTGCATGTTATGTACATTGTTGCCGTACCTTATATATAGTACACCGGATCGAGGTTAGCTAGTCGATCATAACTCAATTCCCTTACTCATCAATTTGCATGTCTGACCTAACATACATTGAATGTATCTAAAGCAAAATTCACGTGGCTAACCTAATTATCTATTCTCTATGGTTTCGATTGCACGAGTCATTTGGTATTTTTGGTTGCAAAATACATAAATAGTTTTGTGGTTCTAGACATAGATGGTAAAATACGATACATGTGAGTTGCGTATACAATACGTAAGGGTACTATACTTTGTTCTATACCAATGGTGCATTTGATAGTACATCAATAGTCATAAAATATATGAAATTATTTTAAAAAAATAAATGTATAAACAATACTCAAATAATGAATTTAATTTGGATATCATAAATTAAAATAGACAGAAGAATATAAAATTGTTTGCCAATAATAAAGAAACAGAAGTTTTAAACGCATAAAATACATATGTCCATATATGCAAGTATTAAACATAGTAATTACTAAGTGACAATTACTTTTAGTGTGCCTAGGACCAAAGTTGTCAAATCGGTTTATGTCGGTGTGTCGGTTTTACAAGTGGAATGGTCCGACTGTGGTAGAACCAGTATTCATGTCGGTTATGCCGGTGTTAATAAAATACAAAGAAAAATAAAAAATCCTCAATTCCAAATTAATTAGTTATGAAAAAGCAATCAGAGGAATTATTTCACTCAAAATAATTTATAGCTAAGAACTGATAACTAATAGTAAACAATTAGATGCGTAAAAATAAAACTATATAAAATGAATTTGATTGCCTATTAATTTTCTAATTTAGAAGCTGTGCATGGGTTTTCATTGATATTTTCTTTTACGCATCTAAATTTATGAGGTTGTACATAGTTTTTTATTAATTTTTTTTTTATCTCATGCATCTAAATGTGTGGGCCAGATATCGTGAGCATGTAGCATTTCTTTCAACATGGTGACAATAATTTTGAGTAGAAGATAGTGAAGCCGTAATTGCTATTTGTTCATGGAATTTCTGCCCCCAATATCACAAATCTATCACATAACCATTTATAATTTCTTGGAACACTTATTTTGTAATATTATCTAATTTTTCCCACTAAAAATACATTTTATGTCTATGGAAACTAATAACATCTGTATTATTATTGATTATATTGTCATAATTTTCACGAAAAAATGATTGTATTGCCATAAAAACTAACCAAATCCATAAAAATTAGAGTGGACAGCTTATTAAGGTTAGATACAAGGAATTCCCCGCTACGACTTACCGGCCATCCCTTCCCCTCAACACCGTCCCGCTCGCCGCCGCGCGCCCCCTCACTCCCACTCCACCGTCTTCCTCCCACCGACCCACTCTCTTCCTCTCTCCGACTCGCCCGTGCCACCATTCTCGTTCGTCCGCTTCTCTCAATAGCTATCCTCCTCCGACGCGTCTTCGCCCCACCTCTGGAGGTGATGCTATGTCCGGTGTCCCTGCTTCCCCTCTTTGATTAATTGATTGCTGTCAAACTAGGTTTTCAGGTCTGGTTCGTTCGTTGTACAATTCCTGCACGAGTGAGATACGCTACTGTTTGCCAATAGCCACCTGAGGATCTCTCAATTGCTAGGGTTGAGAAAATGGAAAGAATGAGTGATATGATCGCTATGCCAAATGACCGAATTCAGTAGATTTTTCTCACAGTAGCATCAGTTTTCAGTTCTCGAGCATAGATTTTCTCTTACAGTTTCATGATGTGGGTTCAAAGGCTTTTACTGATCGAGTTTTCTTACCCTCCTCGTCTAGGGAAGTTACGTTGCAAGTTAGCGAGCTCTGTATGGATATTTGACTCCGGTGAAGGAATCATTGCTTGCCTGCTCTTCGATCCACCGGAGCCATGAAGCTAATTGCAATTGCAAGGGCAGCAGTTCATTCCCGTGCAAGTCTCCGCAGAGTAGTTAATGGGTTCTTGCAGGTTAGGTATTTTCAGCACGACTTCGTTCCTAGAGATCCTTCGGTCAAGCCCAAGAAGTACAAGTACCCAGCTTTCTATGATCCGTATGGTCCCCGGCCTCCACCATCAGAGAAGATTGTTCAGCTTGCAGAGCAAATTGCAGCCCTGCCACCCGAGGAAAGACGCCAAATTGGACCTGCTCTGGGGCTTAAGCTAAGCCATCCGAAGCTCGAGACGATCTCTACTGAAGGAATGGAGTTGGGTTCAGCAGCCGGAGGAGGGGCTGGTGCAGGTTCTGCAAAGGTTGAGGAGAAGAAGGAAAAGACGGCATTTGATGTGAAGCTTGAGAAGTTTGATGCAGCTGCTAAGATTAAGGTGATCAAGGAAGTCAGAGCTTTTACTAACTTGGGGTTGAAAGAGGCCAAAGAGCTGGTTGAGAAGGTACCTGTTGTGCTGAAACAAGGAGTCACCAAAGATGAAGCCAATAGCATAATAGAGAAGATTAAAGCTGCTGGTGGCTCTGCTGTCATGGAGTGATTAAGCTTGAGCACTTGGTTTCCATTACACTTTAGGTTGGCTGTTTCTTTCTTTTGTGCTTGTTAGGTTGATATTGAATTGTCAGAAATATGAGTTGAATGACTAGCAGATGGAAATGGGACTCCAATAATATATTTTTGAAGTAGCTCCAACTAGATCCTTGATCGATATCAGACATGTTATGTTTGATTTACACTGCAGACTCGCAGGTTTTTACTTCAGGATTTGTGTGTGCGATTTATTTTATACTATGACCCCCCTGGTCCAGGATAGCAGGATCATAGAAAAGTCAGCCAAAAATGAAAACAAAGTTCCATGCATGAGAGGTATTGGATTATAAGATGACTGCCATCATAACTGCCTATCGCTTTGTTCATTTTCTCTTGGCGGGAGAAAAGAACAGAGCATAGTGTAAAACCAAGCCAGCTTCCTTTCAACCCACATACATTAGGAAAACTGCCAAGAGAGCTTCTTTCCCCCATATGGGAGAGCTTATTGTTCCTACCTAATGAGCAGCTTACACGAGGTTCCATACATAATCGGTTTGATTGCCTTTCTACATCAATGTCGTTTAAGAGGAAGATTTGGACATGGAGCTGACTTTCTTCATAAGTGAGTTTATCTCACTCTCCAACTTCCTCCTCATCTCAGGGGAAAGACCATCTCCGGATTTCTGCAGCATTGATGTCATCATCTCCAGATTTTGCCTTATGGCATCGATGGGAGGTGCTACCACCGCTTTAGGTGCTGCTGGCATTTCCGTGGTGTTCAACTCTCCCTTGGAAGGAGATGTTGGTGAAGCTGCAACAGGAAGAAGCTGGCAACTCACAGGGGTTCTGCTGAAAGGATTATTACCCTTCTCTAAGCTTCTGGATGACTTGTCACCATCAGCAGCCTTTGTAAAGAATACATGTGGTGGGGCACCAGGGTTTTGCAGAGGCTGTGAAAATTCTGGCTCTTTTGGAGGTTCTCCATTAAACCATTTCCTGCTGTATTTAACTAATTGTTCACTGGGGGCATATTTCTTTGTTGGTCTCCCTGGATTACCTCCTCTTCCTCTTCCTCTCCCCCTCTTCGCCCCGAGATTTGTGAATGTCCCAGTTTCAGCAAGTCCCCAATTTAAATCAGGAATTCCAGTAGCACCAGAAATAACCTGTTCCGAGACTGGGATCTCCTTCCTCTTTCTTTTCTCAGGTACAGGCTTACCTTCTGTTTTGACAGTACCACAACTAATGAGGGGCGGATCCCTTGTGGATGGCCCGAAACTTATTATCTTACCGTCTGTATCTGAAATGCTAAAAGTGGAACATGTCACATTACCTTCTACAGGAAGATGATTTGTAGAAAATGGTCCTTTACCGTGTAAACATTCTGACAATGTTACAGGTTCTGAAATATTTCCATTCACAACTTGCAATGTAGCTTTCTCATGTATCTTTGTCACGGCCTGTGGACTTAAAGACAACAAATTTGGTACACCACCCACGCAGCTGTTTAGGTCGGGTATGTTGGCAATTTGGTCAATCTTCTGGCTTGCCACAGATGTTCCTTGCTCCTCCCTTCCATTATTGTATACAGGTCCTTTATCTGAGGAGGGAAGAATGCCTATGCCACAGTTATTGTTTGCTGCCGTGCCATTTGTAGCATTTTCGACATTACTAATAACTGAATTTCCAGATTTATTCGTGTTCTTCCATACCTTCTGCTTAGGTGGCAAAGTCTGACTAATCTCTTCAGCAACCTTACCAGGGGGTGTCTGAATCTCAGCAGCATTACCCCAAATGGTGTTCTTGCAATGCCTCTCATAAATGGACTCGTCATGAAACGCTGATATTCTGAACCTCGAGAAGAACCACTCTACTAGGGCAAAGGTCTTGCTCTTGCTTTGATATGAACAATCTACAGAAGCACGAGACAGCTCAGACAACAAATCTGAGACCGATGCTCCCAGAAACTCCGGCTTGCTTGATATACTTGTGTCACTGATGAAATTCTTGAACCACCGGTTTCGGAATCTTTTGTCAGAAGATATAGAAGAAGCTCCACTTAGCCCAACAACATCCTCACCACCTCCCAGAACTTTCATTTCTAGACCACTGGATTTTTCCTTTTCATCTGGCCTGTTGTTTTTATGTTCCAGGCTGACATACGGATATGATAAATACTTGCTCCTCTTCCTTTCCCTCAAGTCAAAGCTCTGATTATTCGTTTTCGATGGAGAACCCAAGTTTCCAGTCTCCTTTGCTGAAGGTGTGGTCAACAAATCTTCACCAAGATCTAGATCTTCTCTTCTGAAGTTGATTTCAAAGAACTGTTTACGTTTTCTTTTCCTTGATCTTGATTCCAGGTCATTCTGTCCCAAAGTTTCCTTATGACAGGCACCTGTCCCTTCAACCGGAGTTGAGTTTTTATCTCCAACTAGAGCATTGCTGTTGATTTTTGTTGTCATTGACCCATTCTTGCCACCATTTCTCTTCTTTGGACTCTGCTCCCACAGTTCATCAATATGCAACTGCAAGTGTCCTCTGAAACAAGAGAATGCTTCCACGTGAATCTTAGCAACTGCGAACTCAAGCATAGGAGGTTTGCTAACTGCCACTGCAAGTTGTTTGATCCGAGAAAGAAATTCCATTGGCTCAAACTTTGTCACTGATTTACCAAATCTGAACTCTTGTAAATACTTGCCTTCCTTGTCACTACTACCACCTTGTTTGACCATGCAAGAACAATTGATCTCCGACTTCAAACATCTCATAAACTCATCCATGGCCTTCTCTACAGCTCCAGTGAAGTTTCTACACTTGTTTCCCCCTACAAGTTGATCAAAATTGTCATGGAAATGCCTTAGGTTATATGGTGGGCACCAGGTGAAATGGCTAGCACCGAAATATTGAACTACATGGCAGTTGATCCGGTAACCTTCTTTAGAACAAATCATTGCATTAGAATCACCACAAATCTTTCCTGGCCTCCAAGACTGGTTTTTCATTCTAACCCAAACTACATCCCCTACACAGAACCGCTTAATCGGCTCTTCTTCACACTCTTTTCTTGCACCATCCTTGGTCAAACCAACACAATCCATATCCTCGGAATAACCAGTTTGATGAAGAGGACCAGGAAGCTCCACATACAGTGATATGTCATCGCCTGAATCATTTACATTCCTACCTGTACTCACTCCGTCAATGGCCAGAGTATAATTGCCCTTGGCCAAAACTCTTCCACTCGAATGCTCCTCTCTTCGAAATTCCCCATCAGCGCAATCTCTTAAAGATGAGACCTTATCAACTTCAAGAGCATGACCACCATTAACCACTTGGGAAACAATCACGGAAGTCAAATCACCACTTGCACATTTCTCTCCTTCACAAACACCATTTCCCGCAATTATTTTCTTACCGTGTCCTTCTGGCAGCGCCTCAGACTGAGACTCCACAGCACCGCATTTCTCAGGACAAGAACCAGTAGCTTGACCCAACAACCCCATGGCCACAAAGTTTCCAGCTTTTATGGTTTTACCATCTGGGTTCTCGGCCACTAGGGTTTTATCAGGGGTTTTAGCATCCTCCATGCACTAACTACTACACCAGAGCTCCCACACACAAATCTCAATGTCCCACCTGCTGCTCCTAAACATGAAATTATACTGCTTTTATCATTTAATTAACATGAATAATCCAATCCGAACACTGAAACAGCAAAACAAACTCGACACATTACGATTTACAAGGGAATTTACACCGAAGTACACAAAGATACCAACCTGTGAGAAAGTTATTGTATGGTTGGGATTCCAGAAAAAAAAAATAAAGGCTTCACATTGTTGCAGCAGTGACCGGTCGGCGGGTCGACATGATCCAACAAGACCACACAGGAGTCGGCGTTAAGGTGGAAAGGGTAGAAATTTCAGGTGAAGAATTAAGAAGGTAGAAAGAGGGAAATGGGAAGAGAAAATAAAGCTAGATAACTACCTACACACTGAAAACAATGGGAAGAGCGGAGGGGTGGAAAAACTGTAGAGAGGAGAGTGATGAGGTAAGAGATGCGGGAACTGGGAAGGGGAACAATTAACCTCGGCTTCTACTTTCATGTATTTTTACTCCCCATTTTCATATTAGATCAGGGACCGCAAAGGGAGGATTTGGGGTTTCCTAAATCATCCCATTTTCATTTTCAAATATCAAAACACATAATCGTTTCATGTTCATGCAATAAAATTTTGCAATACCATTCCATCTCTACAAATTTTTTTTATTGTACATTAAATATTATTATACATAAAATCCTATATGTATATATTCAATTATAGCAGTAAACAAATTTAATAAATCATGAAATTAACAAAAATATAATCTTTCTTCATACAATTCAAAACATCTGATTATGAAACATTCATTAGTCTATAAAATAGAGTATAATGCTATCCAAATCATTCATCTCTTATTTTGACTCATATACAAAGCAAAAAATAAGCAACATAATCTTGATAACAAAGGGAAAGAAGTCAAAGAGCGAATGGTAAATTGAGGAAAAGAAATTAGGTTTTAGTTTGGGTAGCCGAGCCACTCAATTATATTTTTACCCTTTTTATAGCTACCCTTAACATGTTACAATTTAATTCCTATATTTTTTAATATATGAAGAAATACTCTTGCTGTAGCGGGTATGAGACGGGGAGGCTAAAATCATACACGCCCAATCCCCATCAACTTTTTTAGGACTTTACACATACCCGTCCCACAACCATTGAAAGTAGAGATTCCTCATGTTGACTGTGTTAGGGGCAGACGGCTACCCACAATTACGGGTTTGATTCTCAGTTACAATACTAAAATTTTAGAATGTTAATCTCCACGTGTCTCGTCAAGACAATATCATTTTGTTAAGTCAATATTACTAACAAAACTTATAAGGAGAAATTAACATTTGACAATTATTTTTTATTTTGAAAATTTTAGCTATTAATTTGAAATTTTTAAAAGGTTTGACTAATAATTGTATTTATCATAACTATTAACAAATATATATGTTTTCTTTGTTGGGAAACTCCGAACTAACAACCTCAGGCAAAACTTAAAATTAATGCCTTGTTCACTTCCCATTTCGTTTTTTGTTTTCTGTTTTTAAAATGAAAATCAAAAAACAAATTGCAAGAAACGTGTTCACTTGTCATTTCTGAAGAAAATCAATTGTTACAAATGAGAAAATCAATTATAAGTCCTACGTGCTATTTTAATGGTGATAGTCCTTAGCCAAATACAAAGATTATAGTATGATAACTCCATTTTAATGATAAAGCATTTCCAGTAAAATTGTAAATTTCTATTAAGAACAGAATGATCATTTTAACAGACCTTTTTTTATGAATCATGATAACTATTAGCTAAGAATCTTTGGCGAATACTATAAAATGGCAAGAAATATCAATCTAGGCTGAAAATCATAGTAGTCAATGTGTATAAAATCATTAGACTTGAACTTATAAAAAAGAACCTTATATGTGAGTATTATGCTCTGTTACTACACTCCATCGCTCTTTACCTATTGATAATAAGCATAAACCTCTATAGGTGAAAGTTTCAAATCAAACTAGCTTTGTGCTCCGCTTGTTAACCGATTAGGTTTCAGTTATTATTAATGTTAATAAATTTATTTCACTACTTAAATTATTTATGCCTTTGCTTTTAATCAATTTATTTCACTACTTAAATTATTTATCAATGTTAATAAATTTATTTCACTACTTAAATTATTTATGCCTTTGCTTTTAATCAATTTATTTCACTACTTAGATTATTTATGCCTTGGATTTTTGTTGTTGTTTTAATTCACTTTTTTATACATTTTTCATGAGACATCGACTCATTGTTAGTTAAACTCAACCAAACATGGAATACTAAATCAATGATTTTATTTTTTTATGTAGTCAATACATGCATTGAGTTTAAAATTTATTCAGTCAATCAAGAAAAATGGACTCTTGCGTAAACTTATCATAAAATTGTGTTGAAAATTCTCAACATTTAGCATACAAACAAATAATTATGCAATTACTTAATTACGACTCATGTCCTTAATGAAGGTGCCTTTGTGTATGATATTATATCAATATTTTTTAACAAAGACATTCATTTCATTATCTTATATAATACACATCAAACAATCATTTTCAATACTTGGTCTAACTATGAAAGAATGATTATTGTTACTTGTCTTAAAACATTCAGACCTTTTCTTAGTGACGATAATTGATCAATGTGTAACTCTATAACCTAATTTCCAAACCTTAAACCATAATTCTGAATCTTAGACCCTAAACTAAAATGTACAGATTTTAGGTCATAATTCTATAACCTTAAACCCTAATAAAATGCATTAAGAAAAATAATTGATGACTCTGATTCATTGATATATATCCAACGTTTCCATATGCACCAAATTAAGGTTTAGAGAATTAACAACGAACAAGAGCTTGGTCTAAAGGAAATACTACTATCATTGAACCTGAAAGTCTTATATTCGAATCCCGTAAGTAATACCTAAAAACAAAAGATAAACCTATATAAAAAAGTTTAGAGAATTATGATATTTATGATTTATTCACTCAGTCATGGTATAGTACCATACCCCTGATTCATGCTTTAGGTAGACATTATTGTACCAAGAGTATGTTGTAACCCAATTCACTAAGGGTATACCATAGATTTCCTTGTACATACACACTATTTATTGTTAAATTTAAAGATTTGTCAATGATGATTGAATCATTGGTTAATGATATTTAGTCACTTACTTTACTTATATGTTTATGATTCTCAACCCTTGGTGCGATTATTAGTCAATGATTTTTGGTCCTTCACTTCTCACATTGAAATGTTTTCTTGCAAAACAAGACATTCTCTTATACTCGTAGAATCAATTTACAATCATAACTAGACCATCGAATGCCAATTTTTTTATTTCAAAATGAAATTTTGTATACCCCTTTCGATGATAGTTATTGTATTCCCACATGCTGTAAACTAATCATTTTATCAATTGCAATACACGACTTCAACTCTAAATTTATTGTTTGATTCTTGATGAATTTTTTGTGATTAGAGATATCACTTAGTTCATTTATAAAGTTATGTGTATCAGGACAACTGTTTTGTAAAACCCGAAAGTTATTGGTTATTTAATATTTGTAGGGCTGACAATTGCGGTGGATAACCCCTCTAATTTTGAGATGCCCACCAATAGGCTAGTTTGGTCATGTTGTATCTTTTGCAGAAGCAGTTTATAGTTGAAGCTTTTAGAGAAGTATTTTTTTTTTAAAGTAGTTGAGTATTTGCTGAAAAACTATTAGAAGTATTTTTTTTCCGACAAAAGATAATATTAGAAGTGTTTTTTAATATGAGAGGTTGTATAAAATGACTATAAATAACTATAAACTAAATAAAAAACTATTATACATTATTGGATGATACATGTCAACTGAAGTTTAACATCTCTACTTTACATTTAAAAGGTGTTCTTAAAGTAACATCATCACTTATATTGAAAACCTGGTTTCTATTGGCAGTTAATAGCAATTCTGCCGGGTGTCAAGTATGGCAATGAGGCTACTACGTAACAACTGAAGTTTAACATCTCTACTTTACATTTAAAAGGTGTTCTTAAGGTAACATCATCACTTATATTGAAAACCTGGTTTCTATTGGCAGTTTCAGACGAATGGATAAAACAGAACTTACAAAGTGCAAATTAATATCAATTATGGCGGGTGTTAAGTATGGCAATGAGGCTATTACGTAAAAAGATTACGTAACAACTGAAGTTTAACATCTCTACTTTACATTTAAAAGGTATTCTTAAGGTAACATCATCACTTATATTGAAAACCTGGTTTCTATTGGCAGTTTCAGACGATGGATAAACAAAACTTACAAAGTGTAAATTAATAGCAATTCTGCCGGGTGTCAAGTATGGCAATGAGGCTATTACATAAAAAGGGGCGTTCCGAGAATTGAACTCGGGACCTCTCGCACCCAAAGCGAGAATCATACCACTAGACCAAACGCCCTTCTGTGTTCATGTGATTCATTTGTATTTATATAAAGTAGCTTATCTCTAAGAGACCAGCCTTGAATCCCTACTTCCCCTGTTGCTACTTGATACATTGGAAGGGTTTGGGGGGTTAGCTGAAGGGCAGCAGGGGACATTTCTTGAAAAGATACTGGTTTCCATATTTTAGTGTGAAGACTGGGTTTGCAGCAAAATGCATATAACTAGATTTCGAAAATAAAATGTGGCTTACACCACAATCACTGATGGCAGAAGCTGGCTTCATTCTGATAGTACAAGTATGTACAAACACAACTGGGATTTGCTTGTTGCAGTTCCTGTACTCTCTTTATTCCACACAGAAACCAATGGTCAACCTCTAGCAAGCTAGTTTTATTTTCATATCATACAACTGAGATTTGCTTGGTGATCATGAAGATAAAAAAAGGTTACGGACTTTTCCGTTGACAGCAGAGAACTCGGTAAAAGGCTCTCAACTTGCTGGTTCATATCTGCACACACAATCGTATATGTTTCCTTGAATCAGTTTCTCTGCCAACCTTTGGTTCTTCACCATTGCAAGCTGCAAAATGATAAAATAAACATTCTCAGAAGACTGGGAGATGGAAAATGAAAACACCAAGTTGACTGTTACTCAATAGTACCTTCAAAGCGTCACATTTGAACCGAGCATTGAAGTTGGTGTGAAGAGATCTACCCATTCCTTCCAAAATAATCTGCAAAATGCAAGTTTAATACTGTTTGAGTGACTCTGGCTATCATGAATATAATCTCTCTCACATACTTTAACTTTGCACTCGGACACCATACCAGATCAGCCTCCATCGCAGCAGCAGCAAGCTCAGAGCTGACCTGCCTCAAGTCAATGCATGGACTTCCGCAGCCATTCGCAACAACCATTAGCGGGACTGACGACGAATTCTCTTTGGCACCATCTGAGTTGGTGATCATTGCATCCACAAGTAGCCCTCCAGCTTCAGCAGCTCTTCTAAGAA